AATTCTATTGCCATTGGTTTTGTTGCTGTTTTTCTTCACTGCCATCAAATTGGTTCCAATCCACGGCAACCATTTGCATCACAGAATGAAAGACTGCACTTTCCTGCACCATCCCTACAATTGTCCCTACGCCTGAGCCCATTAGTGCAGCCATGGGTGTCAGTAATCCATAATGAAGGTTGGTGTCCTTGATGTTCACCAGCAAGTACAATTCCTCCTCCTTTTCAGCAAGCAAGGTTGTGTCACCTGCACGTCGCAGGTTGTTAGTAAGCCTTCCTCCAATCCTGATGCCACATTCTTCTTCATATCATGCAGCTTCTCTGATGGTTTGTTCAGCAGACAGACTGAACAAGTATGGTGAGAGGATACAACCCTAACGCACACCTTTCTGATTTGAAACCATACAGCATTGCTTTGTTCTGTTTGCAAAACTGTACAAGTTCCTCACGAGCACAATGAAGTATTCCAGAAGTCCCATTCTTCTCGAGGTTACCCACAGTTTACTATGGTCCAGACAGTCAAGCGCCTTTGCGTAGTCAATAAAATATAAATAAACACCTTTCTGGTAGTCTCTGCTTTCAGCCAAGACACATCTGACATCAGCAATCATATCACTTGTTTCATGTCCTCTTCTGAATCTGGCCTGAAATTCTGACAGCTGTCAATACACAGTGGCAATCATTGTTGGATGATTTTTAGGAACCTTTTACTTGAATGCTCTATCAATGATATTGTTCTATCGTTTGAGCATTCTGTTGGATCACCTTTCTTTGGAATGACACAAATATGATTTTTTTCCAGTTGGCCACATAGCTACCTTCCAAATTTCCTGGCATTGATGAGTAAGTGTTTCGTCATCTTGTTGAATCATTTCAGTTGGTATTTCATCCATTCCTGGAGTCTTGTTTTTGACTAATAGATTGAGAGCAGCTTGAACTTCTTTCAGCACATTGGTTCTCGCTTATATGCTACCTCCTGCGAAATGGTTGCGTGTCGACTCGTTCTTTTTGGTACCGTGATTCTGTGTATTCTTTCTATCTTCTCGCGATACTTTCTGCATCATTCGATATTTTGCCCACAGAATCTTTTCATATTGCAACTTGAGGCTTGAATTTTTTCTTGTATTCTTTCAGTCTCAGATAGACCGTGTATTCTTCCCTTTTGCTTTCCTACTTCTAGATCTTCGCAAATTTCATTATAATGAAATTTGTCTCCTATATTTTCCCTTAAAATTTTTCTATTCAGCTCTTTAACCTCATCCTTTCTCCCATTTGTTTGAGTTCTCTACAATTAAGAGCAAGTTGTAGAGTCTCTTCTGACATGCGTCTTAATATTTTCTCTCTTTTCTGTCTTTTTAACGACTTTTTCCTTGCTTCCTAAGTGACGATCTTGATGTCCTCCCACAGCTCACCAGGGCTGCCATCATTAGTGGCCCATGCACCAAGTCTGTCCTTGAGATGGCCTCAATGGTCAGGTGGGATAGACTCCAGGCTCCCTTTTGACTCTTGTGAATTAGTTTTAATTCTCTTCAGCTTTATCCCGAACTTACATCTGAGCAATAGCACAGTTGGCCCCTTCTCTGGTGTTAGCTGCTGGTATTGAGCTTTTCAGTCATGTCTTCTCACAGATAAAGTCAATTTGATGTCTGTGTATTCCCTCTGGGGAAGTCCATGTGTACACTTGTATTTTGTATTGTTGAAAAAAGGTATTTGTTATGAATAATGTATTGGTTTTGCAAAATTCTATCATGCGATGTCCAGCTTCATTTCCATCACTAAGAACATATCTTTTCAACAACTGTTCCTCCTCTTTATTTCTAATTTTCATATCAATCACCAATAATTATTAGTTATCTTGATTACATGTTTCATCAACTTCCGCATGAAGTTGTTGTTAGAATTCTTCAATCTCTTCCTCATCATCTTTTGTGGTTGGTGCATACATTTGAATAACAGCTGTGTTGACTGGATTTCCTTGCAGATGGATAGACAGAATTCTACCACAGAGAGCTTTGTACTCCATGATTGGTGTTTCAGAGTCCTTTTTGACAACGAGTGCTATGCCTGGCCGTGCAGCTTAGGTGTCACATAAGGCTTTGCACCAGGGTTGTGCAGCCTGGTTTTAGTACCATGGCTGTGTTCGCATCCTAGAATGAGTTCATGTGTTTACTGTTCTTTTCCTTATCATGGAATCTAAAGTTGACTCAACTCTTCTCTGAATGCTTGGTAAAATTCTCTGCTGAAGCTGTCTGGCCTTGGGCTTGTTGGTTGTTGTGGGGAGTTTTTTCATGAACTGATTTTGTCTTTTTTTGTTCCAAGTCTGTTGAGGTTTTCTACATCAAGCTGTACTAAATTAGGAAGACCCTGTGTTTCTAGAAATGTGCCCATTTCTGCTAGGTTTCAAATTTGTTGGAGTACAGTCCTTCACAATATTGTGCTATTCTATTTTTCATTCCGTTGGCTCTGTTGTGATGTCCCCAATTTCATTTCTTATTCATGATATCTGAATCTTTCTTTTCTCTTATTAAGTTTGTGAGTGCTTTGTACATTTCATTAATTATTTCAAAGAACCCACTTCTTGTCGTATTGCTTTTATCTCTAGTTTTTCTGCTACATGTATTCTGCTCTACTCATTATTATTAGTTTGCTCCTGGTTGCTGATGGCATATTTTGTTATACTTGTTCTAATTGTTGAAGATGTAGGGTTAAAAACAAAAAACAAGAAAAGGAAAGACAATTAAAAAAAAGAAGAAGAAGAAGATGTAGGGTTAAAGTGCTGATGTTGATTCTTTCTGATGTATGTATTTATTGCTATAAATTCCTGTTTTCTCAACAGTTTTATTGATGTGAAATTAATATATCATACACTTCCATCGTTAAATTGCTTTTTAAAAGAATTAAGTGTACATCAGTACAATCTGTTCTAATGTACTTTCCCACACCTCCGGCTTTCCCTAATCCTGCACATCCCAATAGACCCTTCCAGCAGATATTGTCTCTATGCATCCGCACCTTCTGTGTTTCATAAACTGGGAAACCTAACAGAAGCAATAAAAAACTAAATATAAAATATAATTTAAAAAGTAAGGGAGACAGTGGTCAGTATAATAACAATTTACAATCTATCAAGGGGTCCTGAGAATAGGAAGGGTGAGGGAGGG